CAAGTTGGGGAAAGCGCCTATGTGGCTCTCAGGCTGGAAGAGGGGCTTGCTGCTCCTTGGGCTTTCTCTCCACCCCATGATATTCTTTGGAATTCTGAAGTGGTAGGCTCCTTTAGTGACCTAAACACACAGAGACATCGAGGCCATGTCTCTAGGGAGTAAGTGCTCACCACTGAATTTTCTGTTTTCTGCAAACCTGCCCTACTTCCTCCTGCCTCCAGGCTCTTGGGTTCCCTATAGCCAAGAGCTTTCACTAACCTACAAGTCTGGCTGGCCAGCACTGGGGCACATCTGTCCCTAGGCTCTCAAAGGCCCAAGACTCCAAATATCCTGTGGCTTCAAAGAGCAGAGGGGACTCAGTTTGCAGAGAGGCTGAGTTTTTTCTGTCTAGTTTGAGATGTTGGTGACAGAGTTCCTGTACCCTAAGACAAAGCAGAGGGGCAGAGTGACATGCAGCTGGCAACCTGTGCACCCCAATGCCCACCCTGGGGCCCCTTTGTATACATACCAACAGGAGGAATGGCTAGGAGTTTCCCCATCTGAATCGGGACCAAAGCAAACCCAGCAAAGCAACTGTTGTGATCAGACCAAATGTGACAAGATAAGTAAAAATAACCAGGAGAGCCATGATAAGATCTGTGGCTTTGAGTACTTCCCTGCAGGTGAAGCCACACCCAGATAAAAGCTCCCCAGGGTTATCCGAGCCCAGTTAGGGCGCATGCCTACCCAGTGACTGAAATGGATAATTCATCTGTTCTGAGTTTGCTCTTCACAGTTCTCAGAGTGCCTCTCATTTATTTTTGTTGTTTCGTTCCCCATCTTGTGTCTGAGAAGGCTTAAACCCTGTTAGTCAGGGAAAGAAGCCTAAGTTACCAAATAAACCGTGAGCAAAAGCATGGGTTCCATCTTCCTCCAGGGTAGACAAAGCCCCAGGTCCCATTAGGCACCCCTCTTGCTCCAAGGCAGGGATATAGTTTGGTCTCAGCCTATCTACCCCCACCCAGCTTTACTGCAGCTGGCGGGCTCCTCTGCACATCGAGATAGGGTGCTGTATTTATGCATCTCAGGCAGGCTGCTTGGCCCATGCTCCTTCCTCTGCATTGTGAACTGTGAAAAGTAAAAGGCTACGAGAATCAAAACCACTCATGTACGTCATTCGGCTTCTTATCACATGCCAGGAAGGTGCAGGGGTGGCTACAGGAATCAGCCTGCGCAACCCAAACCCATGTGCATAGAGGGCCTGCCACAGCCGCTGCCTCCCAGAGCTGCGAGCTCCTACAGCTGAGTGTTGTTTGCCAAGGCTTCTGATCATTCCTACAAAGGGAAATAAACATCTAGAAGTCATTTTTGGAGCACTTTGTTTTCAAACATGCTACTAAAGTCCAGAGTCTCCTAGTGCACAGCAGGTCACTTTGTAACAACATAACCCATCAGTCCTACAGCAGCTGAAGGTCCCCTGTGATCATTCATACAGAAATGTGAATGTCGAAGGAGTTAGGACATGATCACAGTGCTGAACCAAGGGCACCATGTCCTGATCTGCTGTCCTTCTGTCTACATTATCTCCAGCCAGGCACTGGGGTACAGTGGAGAAGCCTCTCCATTAGGGAGATGATATCATCCAGTGCCTGGCAGAAGGTCTTAGGAGAGGCGGGTCAGAGAGGAGTCCCCACAGGTGCACTTGAAGATGAACAGTCCTTGGGTAGGTCAGGACCTGTGCTGAAAACCAGAGCCCTTTGATAGTACTGGGTATAGAATGCAGACCTCACCGACAGTAGGCAAGTGGTTACTGCTGAGTCACCCTCAGCTCATCTCTGGAAAATCTAGGCAGATGACCTCCTGCTAAGCCACACCTTCCAGCCTCTATTTACTTTGAGGTTGGGTCTCTAACTTTTCCGGGCTGGTCTTATAGTACTCTGTGACACAGACTGACTTTGAACTTGGAATCTTTCTACCCCAGCCTCCTGAGTAGGTAGGATACCAAACTTGTGCCATCACACCTAGTAGACAAATAGTGCCAACCTGAATTGTGGCGCAGCAGGCTACAGAGATGCCCCTAAACAACAGAGGATAAAAATTCCTGGTTAACAGGCAAGAAATGAAACATGGGATGAGAATGTGTATGCTCCAGCCACACAGGAACAGTCCACCAGAATTGTCGGTCTCTTCTGGGGGCTGTTGCCTCTGGGCCACTTCTGACTACCCACTGCCACAGGAGATCACTACTTTTCACTGTCTCGTCATTTTTTTGCTAGAGAAATTCACTAGTAACAAGCTTATTTAGACCCTGTGGACTTTTAAAATAAGGTATCCAAAAAAGACAGATGTATCACCTTAAAATGCTTTCACAGCCAACCTGAGAATGGACTCCTGCCCTTATCAATTGTGACCACGAGCAGGGCCACTGCTGTTCATGTTAACCCCCACCCCCAACTATTTCCCTTCCCAATTCCACATTCCTTGGAAAGCAGTGAATACAAGCCAGTGAAACCAACTATTTACCCTGTGGTTTAATACTAAAGTTAACACCAGGAAGCTCCCTGTGCCATCACCAAGCTCCAGGCCTGAGTAGACTACATTTGGAAAGCCTCTGCCACCTGATGGCCACCCGGGGGTAACTCAGGCCCCAGAGTGAATTCTGGAAGGCCTTCCTTGACATTTGCCCTGGCAGCTGCATTCCCCCACATGAAGGCTTACGTGCAGTGTGTCTCTTGGGCCCACGTGCTTTCCTGCCCGTCCTCCCTTCGTTCTCCTCTTCCCATGTGTCAGTTGACACAGCGTCTGAACGAAAGGTCACAGACCAGCTTCTGTTGCTCCGATGACAGCCAGAGAAAAGACTAGAGCTCTGCGCCTAGGCCTTCCCAGGCTTAGCAAGCACAGGGCACCCTTGGTGCCTTGTCTCCCCCATTCCACCACTGCCACACAATGACATGCTTAGGAGGAGTTTCCTGTTCTAAATCCAGGGAACTGAGGGACAGGATGGCAATGACCTGCCTAGCCAGAGGGGCATAGTCTGTAAGCAGGGCTAGCAAGAAAGCCTCAGCCCCTGTGCCTGTCTGTCACAGGAAGAGGGGCTGAGTGTCCCAAGAGCTCTGTGCACCGGCTCACAGCCTCACCACCCCCATCATCAGCAGTGAAGCATACATCAGGCCAGGGATCTAATCAGTGCAAGGATGCTGGTTAGGGCTTGGCATTGTGGCTCCTGCCTGGAATCCCAGCATGCAGGAGGCTGAGGCAGGAGGGTCCTGAGTTCAAGGCCAGCCTGGCTTTCAGAGTGAAACACTGTTTAAACAACAACAAAAACCCAACCCTTTATTTAGGACTAGCACAACAGTGCCTGAAGCACCCTGATGTAGTGTGTTAGGGACACCCTAGGTTCCCTATAGGGACAGTGCCCACTGTGTACCTATCCCATTCTGTCACTCAGACCTAGTGGCCAATCCCAACCTAGTCCTTGCTATAGTTAAGGAAAAGAGCACCCACACTGTTGGTTCCCTGATGCTCGGGACCCCAGATCCCCAGATCTTCATCTGTAGCATGTGAGCCTGCTGTTCACCACAGGTGCTGTAAGATAGGCTGTGCAGTGAGGCAAACATCACAGGGTGGTGTTCCACTCAGACCTGTCTGCACCCAGCTCCGAGGGACCCGGTGACTGGCAGTAGTGTCACAGAGTGCCCTCCCTGATCAGTTGCCTTGAGATTGTTCAAGGGCGAGTCAGGCATACTGGACACACTTTGAATCCCAGTACTGAAGCAGGAGGATCACAATTGGAGGCCAACCTGAGCTACCTAGTGAGACCCTTGTCTTAGCAAAATCCAAGACCCCAAAGTTATCTGCTCAGGGCCCAGAGTAAGGTGGGCACTCCTGACCTGGTAGGCACTTCTTAGGAACGAGTCATTGGGGAGAGCTGTGTTCTTTCTAAAGATCCCATCTTGCAGGTCTCCATGGGCTGGGATCCAAGTGAGGGAGACAAGAGGAAACCCCTGGGAGAGTGGGGGTGGAGGGAATCTTCCCTTGTGGTAACTGGGCCGTAGGAAGGCACTGGACATGATGGACTGTTTAGCAGGAGGCCCATGGCCTCAAGGGTGGTTCTGAGGAAAGAGAGCCACCGCCTCTGTGCCCACCAGCCTGCTCAGCTCCAAGTACTAATTAGGCCTCACCTCACCCGGATGGAGGCGGCGCTCATTACTTGGCCTTTCTGTCAGACTTGAAGGGTGATGAACAGGTTGGCTGAGGTCATCTCGGAGTCAGCAAGGCGGCTTGGGCAGGAAGCAGGAATGCAGAGCTCCAAGTTCCTCCCTGGTGGCTATTATGAGCTGCCACCCTGGCTGGCGAGAGGGACTGTCTTTGCACCCACTGTCATCCCCTCCAGTCTTCTATTGACACCTTGCTCAGGCCCCAAGGCAAATTTCAGTGTCATCTAGACTTGTCACAAGACAGCCTCCTGCCACTGGTCCCGATGCCTGGTCTGCTCCTTGCTCTGATCTCAGCCCCCTGTGACACCTGTGTCCTGCTTCTCCCTTTGCTACTTTATGGGGCAGAGAAGGAGAGAAGGGGGAACCAGCGGGCTGAGGGGTTGAGCTGAGTGAGGACCATCTCCGCTCCTATACACAGCCAGATGTGCATCATGCTGCAATGAGGCTGGCCTCCGTGCCCTCTCCTTCATCCTCTACTGACTGCACATGCTGGAACCAAAGAGCCCTCACCTGAGGATGTGCTGGTCTCGTGTGTGTGTGTGTGTGTGTGTGTGTGTGTGTGTGTGTGTGTGTGTGTGTGTGTAAACAGGAATGTGGAAGCCAGAGATCAACATCCAGTGCCCTCTTCCATTGCTCTCCGTTTTATTTGAAGACAGTCTCACGGAAGTTGGAGCTCATTGGTTCTTCTAGATTGGCTGGCCAGCAAGTTCTGGGGATCTGCCTGTGTCTGCCTCCTCAGTGCTAGAGTTACAGAATACACAGTCACCCCCAGCCTTCTATACACATCCTGGAGATCAGGTCCTCATGTCTGCACAGCAAGCACTTAACCAACTGATCCACTCCACCACATACTCTTTTATGAATGTAATTAAGAAAACAAAAGCAAGTATGAGAGAGGGCAAGTGAATCACTATATCATTAATGAACTCGCTAACAAACTAACTCAGTCCTCTTGGGTACCCTAAGGCCTGTGTGGCTCGAGCTCCTTTGTCTTTTAGCCAGAGTTCCCCATGCTTCTTGGGTGAGGGGATGGCCAGAATGAGGGATATGCTGACCTACTACACAAGTGCTCCCAGCAAAGATGGGAGTGAGTTTGGCCTGGTGTTGGCCAGACCCTGAGGGTTAATGGGAAGCACCTCCCATGACCTTGTGGAAAGGGAGGGAGAGGGTGTAGGCTGTCACCATATCCTCTGGGGTTCTTCTAGAGGAAGACACATTTGGAGTCAGTGGAGCCTGAAGCTAGCAGGCCAGCTGACAGAGGGAGGGTGGAAGAAACCAAGAGCCCCTCAGCTGGGGGGAGGACTCATCAAGGTTGGGCTATGAATTCGAGGAGCCCATGGCTGTCAAGACTAGCAACCAGCAGGAGGACTGACAGGACACTGGATAGGAGACAGGATCAGGAGCTGGCCTGGCCTGAGAGGTATGGGAACCAAAGGAAACCTGGGTAGAAATGGCAGGAATTGTGGGGGAGGGTTCCTGGGATGGGAACAGCCAGAAGTAAGAATGGAGGGAAGGCATGATAAGGGCAGGGTCTGGTGGGGTCACAATGGACAGGAGGAGGGTGGCGCTGGGAAGGATGGCTGAGAAGTGATGGGCTGGTGGGCAGTGCTTTGTGACCAGAGGGATGTTTTCTCCCTGGTTGCTGAAGAGGGCCTGGCAGCAGCTGGCAGGGTTTCAGAAGTTGGGTCATAAATGAACACTGCACTCTGTCAGGTAGCTTGCACATAAAAATGGGCAGAATGTGACAGTCACATTGCTGAGAGCACTCTGCATGTTGGGCTTCCATCTCCGCCGTCTCCACGTTGCTGCATGGGGTGGCACCTCCCTGGAACTGACAAACTCAGACATCACCTATCTCGTACAGCGTACACTCTGTGGAGACCACCAGGTTTTGCGCCAGCCTCCCCTCCCACTGGTTTGTGAGCCAGTTTCTCAGGAAGGAAATTCCCAGATGGCCTGGCTAACTGGAAAGACAGCCTAGCCCAGGTCAGAGGGTAGACACCAAATCATTGTTCACTGGTTACAGGAAGTCAGTCTTCTCCAATGGCAAGGAAGTAAAGATGTAGGGAGACAGGAACCCTGGGAGGCCTGTGCACACATCCACACCCCACACCATGGAGGCTAGCCTCCCCGATCCCCTTCTGTGGCTAGGGAAGGTGTTGGGCTGAGGCCCCTGGACTCACTGGGCCACCAGTGTTAGGTGCCCACAGTCTCAACAGGTGGAGCCCCACTGTAGAGTCCCAAGGGGAACTGACTGGACTTAAGGTCCCCATGGTCAGAGCACTATAGCTAAGCACAGGGACTGCCTGTGGCTCTGGGGCTCTGCCTGCTGCTCCCAGCTGTCATTAGGCCATACCCAGCTGTTCCTCCCCAGGCCGCAGCCTACACCTTAAGGTGGGAGGGAACTCGCTCAGGGTGGCCACAGGGACATTCCCAGGGCAGAGAAGATGGGATGTAGGCTCTAGTGACACACTCTGTCAGACCATACAGCCACTCTGCTCTTGGGAGATCCCATTTCGCCTGCTAGGAGGAGGCCCCTCCTGCCAGCAACATTGTAGCAAGCAGCAAAGAATACCACTTTCACACTATAAATGAAAGCAAGCATGACTCTTTTTTTTTCCTTCTGAAATAAAAGTTCTAGCGAGTAAGAACATTTTGAACAGCAGTTATCCCTAACTTCTGGATGAGGCTTATCAGGTATTCGGCACCCACAAGCTGGCAAGAAGCACACCCCTCTGCAATACATCCAGGCTGGATAAATAGTGCTGTGTAGCGCTCAGTATTAGGGGCCCGGCCACGGCAGGTAGCATGTGAACACAGAGTGAATTCTAACCAAATACTGTTCCACACGATGCTTTCCCTGGAACCCAGATGCTTGCCCAGCACAGGCTTTGAGCCCTACCTCCTGCTCCACTTGTCACTGCAGGCCATTAACAGTCTGGGCAGCGACTGTGCCCACGAGGCTGCATGGGGGCACAGCGGGGCAAGAGCCCTGCCAGGAACAGCACTCTGTAGCTCCTGTCTGTCTGTCCTTGTGGCCCCCAACAGGTCACGTGCACACACATCTGGAAATGCACGTGTGGGAGGCTTTGGACCCCCTACCCCAGCTCTAATGTTTTCAATTCTAAGCCTGCCCTGTGCCACTGCTTTGCCTTCAAAGAGCCTTGTGTGTCCCCGGGGCCTGCAGTGAAAGCAGCCAGCATCTCTATGGCAGAGGCTCAGCGAGGTCCAACTATTTTGTCCTTAGTTCTGCAGACAAATGTCTGTTCAGTTCATTTCCTCAAGGGAAAAGGGAACTCAGGACTGAACTAAACTGCTCTGGGTCTCAGGACCTGAGCCGCCTGCCTGTACCCAACCAGCAGGTCCTACCCAGGGGCTGGATGCTCTGCGGGACAGACGCAGAGGCCCCCAAGCACGGAGCAGAGGATGATCTGGAGGGCAGGCTGTCCAAGTGCCGCCTCCCCTCTCGAAACCAGCTGTAAACACAGATAGGGAGGGGCCTCCGTGCCTGCCAAGGGAGGCAGCGACTTTGTGAGTAATTGACTCAAGGAAAACAAGTGCAGCAGGAGTGTGTGCAGTGCTCACGAGCATCACTGGCTGCCGCAGAGTGGCTGGGATTCCTGAGACACAGGCCCTGGCTCTGCCATGCTGCCTGCTGCTGGCCTCTGGAGCCCACAGTACAAAGGAAGGAGGGACTTGTGATAAAGGTAGGAGCCTGGTGGCTGTCTCTCACTGCTGCTGGCTGAGTGGGGCTGAAGATGAGAGGTCAGGGAGGGCACCCCCATGGGAGGAGAGAACCGATGACCTGCCACCAATGAGAGTCTCATAGACATGGAGGGACAGAACAACAGAGACAGGACAGAACAGAACCCGAGTCCCGGGACAGTCTACTTACTACAAGAGTGCTATAGATGCGGGATCTGAGTGGAGAGGGCACAGTCCCTGTCATCAGTGTTGGGGAACCTGCTCTCATCAGGGGACCTCTCATAGCCTCTGTCCCATGCTGAGGAAGGAGGGTTGAAAGGAGACCAGGCGGAGGATATCCATAAAGCCTAGGTCCATAATGCTACAGAAGACCAGGTCAGCGGGAACATGACTATGGGCTGGTGGCCAGGACAGGAAGGAACACCCACTGTTTCCTGAGGACTGTTGAGCTGGGGTCTGGTGGATGAGATTCCAATCATGTGTGCTCTTAATCAGTCACCATTGGCCACCAAAGCCAGGCAGCCTGGAGCCCCGATCAGTGTGCCCGGATACTGGGCCTGCTGTGCTGAGTGTTCGGGAGGCCCCAAAGAACAGAAGGAACAGCAAAGCAGACCCCAAAGAAATGACCAGAAATAACAGAGACACCACAAAGAGGCACCTTCAAGAGGGGGCCTGGAGGGTAGTGCTGGTATACACCAACCCCTCCAGTGGTCAGTTTCTAGCTCCCTGCCCTCCATGAAGAGGCAGGGAGGGGTCACCAAGTGAAACCCATGTCTGGTGAAGATCAGCAAGCATTTGTCCTTAGCACATGCCAGGGCCCCACTCCGTGGCTTTGCTTTTTATCCATCCACTGTCCTAGCTGTTGGGAGCACAGGCTGGGACTGCAGTGTCCTTACTCAGTGGCTTCCCATGTACATCTGATTGAGTGTTCCAGGATCACCCTGAGCTGAACCCTGCATGCCTGACCTGGGGAGGAGGAGGGCACAAGCTGATGTCCAGAAATGCACGGTGCCAACTGGCATCAGAATGATGGCTGCCACTGGGACAGATTATAGCGTGAGCCTCTCCATTTTCCTGATGAGCCTCCTGTTCCACCCGGCCCCTGCTGCCAGCCTGTGCATCTGTAGTGTCCCTCATGGTGGCAGGAGGACCCTCCACTCACTGTTGTGACATAGCATAATCAGTACACTCGTGTAGGCTGTGGGGGAGCAAGTGGAGATTGGGTTCCACAGCTTCCTTCCAGGGGACTGGAGGAAGGCAGGACCAGTGCCAACACCAGCAGCCTGGCTTCCTAGCTTTGTCCCCTGCATTCTGGGAAATGGGAATGTTGGCTTCCAGTGTGTCTGCTCGGATGTGCTCTGTTTTAATTGTGTGGGCAGGTCTGGTTGGGTCAAGGTGCAGTATGAATGTAAAGTTTTCCCCTAAACAACTGGGTGTCAGCCCGGTGTTGGTGGCATACACCTTTAATCCCAGCACTCAGGAAGCAGAGGCAGGCGGATCTCTGCGAGTTTGAGGCCAGCCTGGTCTACAGAGCGAGTTCCAGGACAAAAACAATACAGAGAAACCCTGTCTCAAAAAAAAAAAAAAAAAGAACTGGGTGTCCCTGGAGAACAAGGGAAGAGGAATGCTCCCCTTAGATCCACTTGCCAAACTCTTGTTCAGTTACAGCAAGACTAACTGGACAGACTGCAACATGGGCTCTGTGCTGCCCCATAGGTCAGTGACCCTGGGGGGAGGAAAAGGAATGCCTGGACTCACCCAGGCCTCCCATGTCTCCCAGCATTGGTGGATTTGGGTGCCCACAAACGCAGCAAGCTTCAAGAGTAACTACATAGGGCCAGCCCGTCTGAGGGAAATTATGTGAGCACAATGGAGCACATGCTCAGCCCCCAGGCTTCATAAGCCTCAGAGGTGCCTGGGCCTCCAGGGCACTGGCTCTTCCCGGTCCTGCTCAGAGGCTACATGTGGGGGCTACAGGTGTACAACCTTCACTTCTCACATTTGCTGACATGTGCTTGTGCTGGGACACAGCCTGCTACCATGTGCCATACACACATCCTCCAGCCTGCCCTACCCCTCGTACCAGGCAGATGTGTGTCCTAGATGACAGGCTATGCTTATGTCTTCTACACGAGAGAGTGGGTGTGAATAGCCATCAAGTGGGGTGGTGGCTGCATGTGGATTCTTTCCCCGAAAAGCCTCCAACCAGTGCCAAAGGCAGCAGTAGCCCTGATGGTGGTGAGGAGCCCAAGGCGTAGCCAGTGTGGTCGTGGCATACAAGGGCATGAATAACATACTTCAGAAGGTTTCTACTGAAGAGTCTGGTGGGTTACCTGGGACTTTGATTTCCTTCAGAAACTTGAGTCCAGGAGTCTCACCATGGTTATGGATGTCCCTCAAGTCTCAGAAGTCTGGCTCCAGCAGTCTGGCCTGGAGCCTCCTGCTTGCAGACACACATGAGCTTGCAGGCGTGCACACACACCCACGCAGACAGGAGAGTGCTTCTTGAAGCCTGGTGACTAACTCTATCCCTTCTCTCTCAGAGCTGCGAAGCTGGGGTGAGCTGCCATGTGGAGCTGTGGCCCACTCAACAGCACAGCGTGGGGTGAGGAGCCGCTGTGCCGCAACCTGCGCCTGGGGCTGTGGATCCTTTCGCTGTTCTACCTGGGGGCAGGTGTCCCTGTGGGCTTGGGCTACAATGCCCTGCTGGTGCTGGCCAACCTGACCAGTAAGAACAGCATGACCATGCCAGATGTGTACTTCGTGAACATGGCTGTAGCGGGGCTGGTGCTCACGGCCCTGGCACCTGCATACCTGCTGGGTCCCGCCCACTCCAGGTGGGCCCTGTGGAGCCTCAGCAGTGAGGCCCATGTGACACTGCTCATCCTGTTCAACGTGGCTTCCCTGGTGACCATGTACTCCACTGCACTGCTGAGCCTCGACTACTACATCGAGCGTGCCCTGCCACGCACCTATATGGCCAGTGTGTATAACACCCGGCACGTGTGCGGCTTTGTCTGGGGCGGGGCAGTGCTCACCAGCTTCTCCTCCCTGCTCTTCTACATCTGCAGCCATGTGTCTTCTCGCATCGCTGAGTGTGCCCGGATGCAGAACACGGAGGCTGCTGACGCTATCCTTGTGCTCATCGGCTATGTGGTGCCAGGTCTGGCTGTGTTGTATGCGCTGGCGCTCATCTCAAGGATTGGGAAGGAAAACACGCCCCTGGACCAGGACACTAGCAGGCTGGACCCTTCTGTGCATAGGCTGCTGGTGGCCACTGTGTGCACACAATTTGGGCTTTGGACACCTTACTACCTGAGTCTGGGGCACACAGTGCTGGCCTCACGGGGGAGGACTGTAGAGGGGCATTATCTGGGCATCCTGCAGGTTGCTAAAGACTTGGCCAAGTTCTTGGCCTTCTCAAGCAGCTCCGTGACGCCGCTGCTCTACCGTTACATCAATAAAGCCTTCCCCAGCAAGCTCCGACGGCTGGTGAAGAAAATGCACTGTGGGCACCGGCACTGCTCCCCTGACCCTGCAGGGATACAGCAGGTGATGGCACAGGCGTAACTAACCCTTCCCTGGTCTTGAGTCCCAGGAGAGGGCCTGACCATGAGGAACACTAAAGTTCAACTGGACGCATAGCACTTTGTTCCCCAAGCACATGGCGCTTCCATCCGCAGGAGACATGCTGAATACAGAATAGCACAGGGGGGCATTTCTCTTGACATTTTCTGTCTTTTCCCCTGAAAGGCCGATCTTGGTCTGCAGCTGCATTGCAGAAAGCGGTGGTGTCTTGTGCATACGGCTGCTTCTAACTAACCTCCCCACCTTCCCCTCAAGGTGTGTGCCTTTCTCCCAGGGATACCTTCAAGGTTCAAGTCTTCAAAAGCAGACTGACCTTTGGCCTCCCTGGTATTTGGGCTCTCTAAATGAAGTGATGAAATCTAAAGCCAGTATTTATACTTCGTATTGACACAATACTTGATTCTCCTCTCCCCCTCTCTTTTTTAAAAAATAAAAACAAGTGTTAGAAAAATGCCTAGTATTAAGATGAAAACAGTACAAGGGAACATGGCTGTCACTGATACCAATGTTACAGCTTGAGGACAGGACAGTGTGCCTGTCAGGCCTGAATAGTTGACAATGATAGCTGTGGAGCACTGGACCTCTCCCCAGCCACACACACCTGGCTTCCTCTCTCCTGCTGAGAAACGAGCTGAGTATTGGCCTGTCTTTCCAGTGCCACAACACGTGCACGTCAATAAATGGAAGAAAGTACTCTCTCTTAGTGCAGAACCTGGAGGACCTCTCTAGGGGAGAGATCTGGGCATGGTAAAGTGTTAGCCAGACATGGAAGGGAGAGGCAGGATGGTATGAGGCCAGGTAGGTACCCCAAGATGACCAGGGACTGGCATCCGGGGTAAAGGCCCTGCCTGGCCGGTTTCACACAGCTGTGGGTGGTACAGGATGAGGCTCGCTTACCACAGGTGTCTGGGACCAGGCCTCACCCACGTGCCTCTGGGGCCTTGTGTTTGGTAATTAACTACTCTAACATGTGGGCATGAAAAGAATTCCTCCCGCCCTATTCCATCATTGTCACCACCCAAGTCTCTAGGGTTACATTGCAGACCCACAACTCCCTGTTCCCCAGTTCTAAAGTTCCCCTCCATAAGATCATCTAACCTGCCTGTTAGATGATAGGCCGGTGTGGTCCATGCTCAGTGAGTGGCCTTCCTACAGGGCCCGAAGGCTGTCCTGGCTGCTTGGGAAACTCAGCTACAAGTAACTTTAGTTTTATCTATGCTATGCAAACAGCATTTCCTGGGATGGTGACTGCCCAAGTTAATCTGCTTTAAAGAGGATCAGGGAGGGAGGTGCATGAGGTCCTCAACCCCAGCTGTGACCCACTGGCCATGCTCTGTGGGGTGCAGTTCCTCACGAATAAACCACAAGACTGGATTAGATTACAGTCTTCAGGATTGCTTCTGGCTGTAGAGTTTTGTTTTGAGGCTTTTAAAATGGCAAGCTCAACTTGCCCTCTCCTTGCTCCCAGATGCACAGCTGGATGGAGGCTCTGAGGCTCTCGTGGCTGCCAGGCTTTCCATACCAACTGCCACACTGGCCACCTTAATGCTTGCTGAGGAAACAGGAACCCTCACCATGAAGGTTCTAGCTGGGCCTAGCCTGCAGCCCAGTTCTCCTATGGGTGAGAGCAAGCCCAGGGGCCAAGGTCAGGGCAAGCAAAGGGCAGCCTAAGCTTTGTGGGTCATAGGGGAAACAGGATCCAGATGGGCGGGGCTGTTTGTGATGTTCCTGTCCCAGTTTAAAGCAGTCATTGCCCTTGTTGACCATTTTATACCCTTTGCTCCAGGCAGAGGTCCTGGGAGGGGCAGGCCCCAGGTCCTGGAAGGGCTCTGTGTCCTGGAATCATTCATCCCAATCATTCCCAAGAAAGGTGAGGAGAGGCCCAAATGTTCCTTAGTTGCACCTTCTCAGTGGCCTTAGGTACAAACTGGCCAAGTTCTAGGGGACTCTTGAGGGACTGGAAGCCAGGACCCTGTGACTAGCATTAAGTGTATAGCCACTTGTCCTGCAGAGATCGTCCAGTGGACACCCAGCTGTCTGCATGGGTCTTACTGGTGGAGCCACACATGGCCGGAAGAGTGGCCATCTGCAGCGCAGATCCTTTCCCTGGAGTGAGGCACCCTCCCACCCAGGACCCTATTCCTACCACCTGCCTCCTCCTTGCCCAAGCCTTCCACCACAACTACCATAGTCACTGGTGCTGACGTCTACTGTATGTGATTCTATGCTGAGTTCATCCTGGGAGTCCCCAGGGTCTGCTTCCCAAGTCTTCTGCCATGCACCTCCCAAAGTAGGAGAGAACCTTAACCACATAGAAAAGAGGTTACTGCAATGATTCGTGTGTGTACTCTGTGTGTGTGTGTGTACTCTGTGTGTGTGTGTGTGTGTGTGTGTGTGTGTGTACGCACACACATGCCCACATGCACGATGCTTTCTTGCATAAGTTTAAGATGCCAGGCAGGACATGCAATTCTTCAAGGATCGTTAATTTGGCTGTCAACACTTCTTGATGGTTATAATTTACAATGAATGCTCTTATTTTCATTAACTCACAAGAAAGCTTGCCATGTCATTACTTAGGGTTCCAGAAGGTGACCTTTTTCTTGGGTTTCTTTCACAATGTCACATGACATGACAGAGGGAACCCAGTCAATGCTCTTTGGGGCAGATACACCCAGGAACCAAAAGACACCTGTTCTGTTAGAGAAAGCATTCGGCAAGGGCTGGACCAGGGAGAAGTTACAACTGTGTGTCTGGCTGGTTTTTGGGAAGGGGGGGGGAGCTTTCTCATTCCTGACCTACAGTATCCACCCACAGGGCTGGATCCATTTGCCAAAATTCTGTGAATGTGAAAAAGAAACTACTGATGAAATTCACACATCTGAATACTATTAAATTATTTAACATGTGACACCCTGTTTCCCTTTGTGTGTGTGTGTGTGTGTGTGTGTGTGTGTGTGTGTGTGTGTGTCTGTGTTTTAATGATGGGGGTGGGTGGGAACTGAACACTAGGGCTTTGCACCAGCTAGGTAAGCACCTGCTCCTGAGCCACAGTCAGGCCCAATGTCTAGATTCCTAAAACACACATTTCTAGGAGTATGTGACGTGTATCAGGAACCGGAAAGCAACAGTCCCTTACCACTGGTTGTTTCTGGTCTGGAGCTGTAGCTCAGTGCCAGAGTGCTTACCTAGCACTCGCAAAGCCCTGGGTTTGATCTCCAGCACCCGCATGACCCTAGTGTGGAGATGCACACTTATAACCCCATCATTTGGGAGGCCAAAGGACTTCAAGGTCATCCTTGGCTACAGAATGAATTTGAACCCAGCTATAGGAAACCCTGTCTCAAGATAAAAGAAAGTTGCTTCAGGGCAGGAGAGATGGCTCAGTGGGTGTAAGAACACTGGCTGTAAGCCAATGTGATGGCGCACACCTTGAATCTCAGCACTTGGGAGGCAGAGGCAGGCGGATCTCTTAGTTTGAAGCTAGCCAGGTCTACAGAGTGGGTTCTAGGACAGCCACGGCTACACAGAGAAATCTTGTCTCAGAAAAACAATACTAGCTGTTCTTTTTGAGGACCTGGGTTCAATCCCCTGTACTAACAAGGTGGCTCATGACCACCTATATCTCCAGTTCCAGGAGCGCTAATACCTTCTTCTGGTCTCCATCAGCACACATATACACATAAATAACACAAATCTTTTTTTAAAAGGTTGCTTCCACTCTTACTATAAATCTCAACACTTTTTAGTTTACTCTGTAGTTTCTCTACAGAATTACAGTGCTCAGATGTCACATGGCCTGTGGATGCCACAGATCAGCAAGCCTTATGGGTGACAAAGGGAACTTGAACCTGTCACTCAGCCAGCCACAGTTTAGCAAAGGAAAGGCGACACCCATGCACTGTCCTACTTCTTCCCAAAATGCCACCATCTTTAGGGACAGGCTGAGGGTATCCTCATGGCCTAGCAGTTCCCGAGGCTCCTGGCACATGTGGGAGGGTCTGTCCCAGCAGTAGCTGACCCTACTTGGCACACAGTGCTAGGCGATAAGAGAGCAAGTGACAACCTGGGAATGACGCTTATGATGGCCCGGTGCTATCAGTAAAGCGCACAGCCCGGAGTATGCTGTGAGCTTGCCTGCTTTTGCTGAATGCACGTGTGAATGAGCGTCCATCAGGGCTGCGCCTTTCCTGGTGCTCTTAGGCTGCTCTCAGCTTCAGCAAAACCAAGAGCTGAGGTCAGGGCAGTCCAAATCCAGTGGATCTAACTTAACTTGAGGCAAGGTCACTGTGTTTGGAGGATCTCCATGTTCCTCTCCATATCTGGGCAAGGACTGGGCTCCTCCAACAGCAAGTCTCTCAGGTGTCCTACACTGTTAGATGTATGACTCAGGGACCATGATAGATACCCCACTGCATCCCTCAGGTAATGGGAAAGATTCTTCAACTGCCCTCAGCAAGTGAGACATCCCTGTGGCCACCAGCCCAGGGGACGCAGCTTCCAATGCCACCTAGCATGCCCCACAGTGTACAGTAGGGACAGGGCCATGAGAGCACAGGGAACTTCCTAAGCGGGCAGCCAACAGCAGCAGAGGTTATACTATGTCATCACATGCACTCAGGCCTCAAGAGGGAAGGCGATGCTAGCCACATCCCCAGATCTAGTCACCGGTTCCTTCTGGGGCACACATTATGTCCCCAGAGCTCTTTTCAGATCCTAAGATGAGCATCATCAGAGCATAGTCTTGGGCTTCCTTTCAAAAGAGGGCTGGATGAGCTGGGCGGGCTCCTGCCACTCAGCTCCCCTAGCCACCCCGCAGTGACAGAGCCAGGGTGCTCCTGGTGATGTGTCAGGCCACAGTTCAGGAAAAGGGAAGGACTTAAAGCTTACTTCTGCTGGAAAGTCACCCTCACCATGTGTTCTGACCACCCTACTTCCCACTTTGCCCCATTTCCAGTTCTCCCTCCATTTGTGAATGTGTGTGTGTGAGAGCACGTGCAATATGCATGTGTGTGCATACACGCCTGTTTTGATTATGGGTGCATGTCTGAAGAGGGGTGATCATGCATGTGGAGGTCTGAGGTTGAAGTTGGAAATACCCTTGATTGCTCTTCTACCTTATTTATGGAAGCAGGGTCTATCTTTTAATGAAGCCTAGAGCACACTGATACGGCTAGTCTTGCCAGCCAGCTTGCTTTGAGGACCCGCCTCTGTCTTCGGGGCTGGGTTTATGGGTGGGCCACCGTGCACACCTGGAACTTATATGGGTTCTGGGGATCCAAACATCCAACAGCCTGCCTCCCTGACCCAGGAAAGGAGACAATATCTCTGGAGCCCCAAAGAACTTTCTAGAATGATGGGAACAGTCTCTTAATGAGCCATTGGATTTGTGACTGCTTGCACCTGTCAGAAGACATCAGCCTGGAACTCAGACTGGCTGGAACAGTCCATAGATCATACATGGACTGACCCTCCGTGTCTTCTAAGGCCAGGACAAGGATGGCCAGCCCCATGCCATCACCATCATGGGTGACACGAACCTGGGAGATGCATACAGAATGCTGTGAGATGAAAAGTGCTTTTGCTTTCAAGCTACAAGCAGAACAGCCTTATACTTCTCTGGGTTCATGGGTCTTGTCTGAGACAGGCTTGTTTCTAGAGCTCCACCCAGTGGCCGTCGATGGACTTGTCGTCTGTGGACATCAAGCCTCTGGCTGCACAAGCCAGCAGCAGGAGGCCAGGTAAACTGCTATCAGCTTGCCAAGCCCAAGACTCTCCCACAATGGTTTTGGCCACAAACAGTGCAGAAACTGGCTAAATATCCCCAAGCAATCCCACTGATGTTCACTACCTACATTACAGGATGGATTTACACAAAGAAATGCTGATTTCTAGAGTTTCTCTGCATGAAGTTGGGCTCCTACACAACACTTATCCCATGATCCTTAGCAAATGTAGGCCTGGGGATGAGATTTGGTCGATGCCACACCATGGATAAGCTGAGGGACATAGGTCTGGGACATAGCATGGCTCCCAGAGGGATGGGGGTTGTGTCGCTGGGCCATTCCTTCTCTCTACTATGGAGGGCGCTTGCAGCCAGGACTGCTCTCTGGCAGCCTTCATGCCCAGAAAGTCACAAGCTACAATCTCCTGAAGCCCTGGAGGCAGGCCCTTGGAATCCTAGCCAGCAGGGGCAAAGACCCACATATTCCAGATAGGTAAGCTATGGCTGTTCTGTGGTGGCACTGCTAACTACCACGTGGGGCTCCCAGGTCATACCTGCTGTGGCAGACACTGCAGTGGATGTAGGGAACATGGACAAGGCACCACCATCTAGGCTCCAGTGGCTTCTTAGCAGGAGTCTTGTCTTTTGAACCTGGCATTCTGTCAGGTGTCCCTAGATCCCTCTTCACTGTGCCTTCAGGGAAGCCCAAGGGTGCTGGCCTTGCTAAGTGAACCAAGGTTATTTAGCTGTGGGCTCGCAAGTCTTGTGTATAAGATGGAGGCAGCAGGGAGGATAGGGATCTCTTCAGGTGTTGTGAATTCCTGTTGCCCTCTTGGTCAGCCACATACAGATTCAGGTCTGAAACTCCTGTAGACAGTAGATAGGACACAGGCTCTCTGTGGCCACAGGAAACTGCCCTGACTAGTACAAGACCAATGTGATGGTTTATATCAACGATAGGACCTACAATCACCTACAGGACAAACTCACATGTTGATCAAAGATTTTTCTAGAAGTAGGCCCCTCTCTAGATGCAGGCAGCTCCATTCTACAGGTTGGCATCCCAGACAATAAAAAGGAGAAAGCAAACAAAGTATCAATATCCACCCCCTCTGTTTCCTCCTGAATATAGATACAATGTATCAGTATCTACTTCCCTCTTTCTGACCATAGACACAATGTATCAATATCTACACCTTCCCTGCTTCCTCCTGACCACAGACACTATGTATCAATATCCACCTCCCTCTGCTTTCTGACCGTATATGCAATGTATCAATAGCTACACCTCCCCTGGTTCCTCCTGACCACAGACACTATGTATCAATATCCACCTCCCTCTGCTTCCTGACCGCAGACACAATGTGACTAGCAGCTTCTGCTATATGTCTTTGCCTTTCCCACCATGATGGGCAGAATCCTCTCAAACCTGTAGCCCCAAATCAACCCTTCCTCACTTAAGGAGCTTCCTGTCAGGTGTTAGGACTTCCAATGAGAAAGAAGCTGATACAGTCAACACAACACAGGAGGGGTTGGACTGCAGGCACAAACGCACACAAACATGCAGCCCCAAGGCAACTCTCTGCATGGCAAGCTGAAGGAATTAGCCACAGGCGCAGACACAACCCAGGACTGTGCTTGCCAAGGGCTCAGTACACTTGGCCTCACAGCATGGCTTCACTCTGAGATTCCTTGTATCTGACTCAGGCTACATGTCGAGTGCAGCCAAGTATTAGAGCCTCAGCCCACAACTAGGGAGGTGGACAGCAGAAAAATAATGCAGTAACCCCAAGTCCTTTCATTTAAGGAGGCAACGGTGAAAGGTGGCGTCCTAGTTAGGGTTACTATATTGTAATGAAATGCTATAACCAAAAGCAAGCTGGGAAGGAAAGAGTTTATTCGGTTTACATGTCTTCCACATCACAGTTTATCACTGAAATTAGTCAAGAAAGGAACTCGAGCAAAGCAGGAAACTAGGGGCAGGAGCTGATGCAGAAGCCATGGGAGAAGAGCTACTTACTGGCTTGCTCTCCATGACTTACTCCATCTGCTGTCTTATAGAACTCAAGACCACCACCCACGATGGTCTGGCCTCTCCCCCTTCAATTACTAATTAAAGTAATGCCCTATATGCTTGCTTACAGTCCAGTCTTATGGAGGCATTTTCTCAATTGGGGTTCCCTTCTCTCAGATGACTCTAGCCTGTGTCAAAATGACATAAAATTGGCCAGCATAGCGCCAGCTGGTGGTGGTGGTGTGTGCCTTTAATCCCAGCACTTGGAAGGCATTGGGAGGCAAAGGCAGGTGGACTCTAAATTTAAGGCATGCCCTATCTCAGAGAAACCCTATCTCAAAAAAGAAAAACAAACAAAAAACCCAAAATTCAAAACCAAATAAACAACAACAAAATTACTGAGAATGTGGCTCAGTTGGTAGAGGGTCTGCCTAGCATGCATAAAGCCAGGAGTTCCAACCTCAGCGTGGCATGAACCAGGTGTATGGTACACACCTATATTGCCAGAACTTGGGAGTAGAGGCAGGAAGATCAGGAATTGAATGTTAGTTATAGAGCCAGATGCCAGACTCAAATCTGTCTCAAAATTCCTAGGAAGGGCCTGCAGCTGTCACTACAGAGCCAGCCAGGTGATCACTTGGTATTATATTGGGGACACAACACAATGCGGCCCAGGACAGACCCCAGGCCCAGCCCGCAGACTCACTGACTGCACCAGGTGAGGACTAGCTCCAAGTAGACAAGACACAGAATGGCTGTTACCCATTAAGTGTGGGTGCTTGGAACAAAGAGCCTGTTAAGCAGTGCGTCCCTGTCCCTATAGATGAGGAAAGATGCCAGACAGAGAGCTAAAGCCCCAGAGATAGTCAGGGAGGATGTGGCAAAGTTGAGAGAATCAGAAGTCATCAATGTTGACACAGTATGAAATGACACTGAGTGGCCTGTCTGCTTTCTGACCCCCAGCTTTGTCGCTTCTGAAGTGGAAACATAAGGTGTGTGGCATTTTGCGTCCTGCTTGTCCTACTGAGTGTGATGTCTCAAGGGCCTCCCATTGCTGTGTGTCAGAACTTTACTCCTCTTCATGCTGAATGAATGATGCCTGGCTGGACAGACAGATGTGTGTGCCGTTCTGCTCGCTTCCACCACCTGGCTGTGTGAATGGCCTGCTATTCGGGTCTTTGCGAGGAGGGCCATCCTATGAACTACCCTCCCCCACCCCCTGCCTAACTACCAGCTCCCCAGCTCCCAGCTCCCAGGGCAGTACAGAGGACCTGACAGAGAAGCCTGGGGACACCTGGCTGCCCAGACTATTTGTGGTCTGTGGCTAGGTGCATATTGCACAAGTGACATCCAAGTGTATCCTTTAACTCCAGATCTCAGAAGGCAGAGACAGGTGGATCTCTGTGAGTTTGAGGCCAGCCTGGTCTACAATGGTGAGTTCCAGGCCAGCCATGGCTACATGGTGAGACCCTATCTCAAAAACAAGATCAATCAAACAAACAAAAACGAGGTGTATCCCCATAGAGGGAGCAGAGAGGAAGGCAGCCACCATGCTCATCACAGGCTCAGTTGGGGAAATGAATATAAATGATGGGGGGGGGAGGTCGAGGTGGAGGCAGCCACAGCCTCCCAGCTGGTGGGGAACTACACCGTGGTGGGGGACAGAGGGAAGGAAGCCACACCTACCACTGCCCCTTCCTTCCCTATGCAAACCTTCAGTGTCCTTCCCCTCCTTCCCACCCAGCAAAGACTCTGCCCTTGGTGGTGAGGGCTCTGGGTGAGGCAGGGGTGTGAGCTGTGCAGGTCCGGAGCATAGCAGCATGAACACACAATCTGGGGCCATGTCTTCCTGTATTCCCACAGTAGCATGAAAACGCAATCTGGGGCCACATCTTCCTATATTCCCATGGCAACATAAACATTGCAGTCTGGGGCCCCATCTTCCTGAATTCTGCATTCCCACAGTGGCTTGTGCATGCAATCCAGGGGCCACATCTTGAATGCTTACAGCAGCATGAGCATGTAATCTGGGGCCACATCTCCCTGAATTCGATTGCTAGGTCAGAGCAAAAGTTCAGATCAGCACTTCAGTGGCTGACAGCCCAGGTCCAGGCAATCACAAGCTTAGGCAGGGGTCATAAGCTAAAGAAGTCCTTGTAGCACTTAGGAAGCTGTCACTGAGCTGGATGGAAGTCTGACTAGGAGGTGGTTCATGCCTGGGGCCCTGTAACACCCATGGGAGCCACAACCACTGACTTTCCTGTCACACTTCTGGGGATGTCAGCTCACCCAGAGGTCAACCTGAGCATGGGTGCTATCATCCGTTATCTCACAGAAGGAAACCGAGGCCTGGAGAATAGCGTGCCTGCCTCCACAGAGCATACAAGAGCAAATGCACAGAGAGAAGAAAATTCTGTTGTCCCATGCCTGTGCGCTCAGCCTAAGGGCCAGCACGGGTCAGGCAGGAGGCATCAGGATTGGAAGACATGCAGGGCCTTGGTGTAGAGGCTTGGGGGAGGCATCTGTGCCCAGAAGCCTGCTCTGCAGTGTCCCTGAGGTTCCAGTGCCTAGGCTGTTAACAGTGAGGCAGGCTTGTCGCCACCTCACTTCAGCTCAAACCGAGCTGCAGAGCCTCTAGTCCCTCTGCCTGTCCCCAGGGGCTCCTCCCATCGGGCCCAGAGATGCTGCCGAGCACCACTCTGTGACAAGTTGAAGATTGACAACACAGGGTTGTCCCTTCACCAGGGGACAGGGGATATGACAGGTAGAGGGCACAGTAGCAGGTTTCAGAGCAGGTAAATGGAATTTGGGAAGGAGGGGGTTATCAGCCTAGGATCCACCCCACACACACACACTTCCACGCCCCGCCTGTGGCCCTCCCTATGCCCTGCCCAGTCCCCAGGGAGGGCTTAGGCACTAGTACTGTGAGACAAGGCCCAAGTGAGGCAAAGGAGGCTGGAGAGTGCCCATGTGCCTCTCGAGGCCACATCCTCACATGGAAGCCTGGTATGCAAGGGGCACTGGAAAGGGCCACAGGTCACTCAGGGACCATTCTCAGGAGGGATACAATAGGATTTTACAGAACTGTCAAAGACCATTAGGAAGGACACAGCCAGTTCCACACAGAATTGGGGTCAAAAATAGTAGTACCAGAGGTGACCTCAAGACAAAGCAGTGAAGAGGCCCTCCGTAGCCCCGCCAGCCGTAGAGTCAATGAGCTGAATCGTACTGTACTGAACTCATGGCCAGGAAGGGAACACAGAGGCTGACACAGCGGATGTGGGTTGAGGGCTGCCTGCACACATCAGGCAGGAAGGGGACAAGGGAGGGTGCAGTGACTAGAGAGGGAGGCCCCTGGGGTGAGGCCTCCTCAGCCATTAGAGTCCCCTCAGACTTCTCTCCCACCAGAGGCAGATTTTCCCTCCCTGGGGCAACAGCTGGCATCCAGGGCTGAAATGCACTAAAGGGGAATCCAGGCCCCCAGCTAATGGCTTTCTAACCCCTTCAAGTCTGACAGCAGTAGGCCTCACAGAAACTACCCAGAGGCCCAGGGACAGTGCTGGGATAACTCTCCTACAGTTCTCAGGAGGCTGAAGGAAGCGCCTAAGACCAGTACCACAGGGCAGCTGACGCCACGTAAACAGCCTGTATCGTGAGGTAAGCTGCAAAAGGGTGCATACAGCAGGGTGGGATGCAGGCAAAGACCACTGCATTCTATAGTTTGAAAGCGTTCCCATGACTGTTTACCTCCATTGGCTGAGGCTCTGCCTTCAGAAGTTGGTGGCTCCGCTCAGGACTCCTCCCAGCCAGCATCATGGCATCCTGGGCAAGGCCTGGCGGAGAGGACGCTGGACACCAGCAAGCTGACGTGCCTTCTGGCACCATGTCCAGGCAGAGCCCCACTCCTGCAGCCTCAAGGTGCAGCTTTGGCCATTGGTGTGCTGGGTAGTAAGGGGTGCACAGTGTCACCTGCCATCCAGGCTAGTGTCCACTGTCCTGAGTCACCCTGTGTCAGGGACAGAGTGGCCAGACCCTCATCCATGTGGCAAGGTTCCAGGCACTGGTTTCCTCTCGTTGGGAGACTTTCTCTAGCTGGGTGGGGCTTCAGCTATTTTAGGTTGTAAATGTCTTTGCCTTCTGGGAGGGACCTTCTGCAAGTGGCCAGCACACTTCTGCAAGAAGGCTCTGGAAACCGTCAGACCCACACACACGTCACTCCTCCACCTCAGACATAGGTCCGTTTGGATTCTTAGGTCACATGGTCCAACCATAGCCCGCTTAAACACAGTGTGCGGTTTGGATGACTCCAGGCCGAATCCTGTTTTTCCTTAGGAACTGTGGGCGTCTGTGCCAGCCTGTCATTGGCAAGTGTGCAGCAATGGAGGGAAGGCTGGATGAACAGAGAGCATGCCCCAGCCTCACAGCAGTCCCCAGCTGCTGATGAAACCTTGTGTGGACCCCAGGGCCTGGCACAGGTGAGCACTTTTTTTTATGTCCTGGGGAGGTACCAGCCCTGCCCACTCAGTTTGTCCTCCTGCCTCTGACAGTGAATGCGCTCAGGGGGCTGTTCACAGCTGTGGGAATTTTGTGAGAATCAATCTCTTTATGGTACAGGTCAGTTCTGTTAAGTAGTAGAAAGCTCTAGCCTGTGGTATGGTGATCCAGCTTCTTCCTGAAGGAAGGGTTCATGGTGGCTCTGGTCAGCTCCCACAGTGAAACGGGAAAGGTCCAAGGGTGGTCAGAAAGCACAGCCGATGTCAGCAGGGCAGTCTGGCTGATCACTACGGGAGGGTTTTCATCAAGGGGGGTGGGTGGGGTGGAGAGGGGCCCGTGGGGCAGAACACAAAGACTGTTCTATAGTGGGCACATCTGGAATGTGTGTTTGCACAGGGCAGGAAACCTGAAAACAGAGAACTCTTTTGGCTTGAATGCAGACAGCGGGGATGGGCAGGGACTGACAGGGAGCCTTTGGAAACTCTGCACAAGGTGGGCTTTGTACTCATGTAGGTTAGTGTGAATCTCGACATGTGTCCCTGTGAGCCGAGGCAAGGGGAGCCACTAGTTGGATGCCTTGCCAAGTGGGTTCAGCTCACTTCCTAAGACCTCCATGACGACTCTCCCAGCGGTGCTCTGCAGTGCCTCCTTGAGGCCAGTCAGTGGACCCAAGACCACACAGCCTTGAAGGTGAACCCTGCCTCACCACCTCCCTGCAGACACATGGGGACACCGCTGTGGTGCTGGCTCACTGGGTCCCCAGAGACTATATCTGCTCCATCTGAAGCAACATGAGGCATGAAGCCTCTGCTCGTCCTGGGGAAGCTGACCCGGTCAAGCGCCCCACTGCCCTCCTCTTCCCTCTTCTGGGGCTCACCTGCTTGGCTCTGGCTAGCCAGAGGCTTTCCTCCTGCCCACACCTGGCTCGGGCGGGATGCCATCAAGGCCTAGAATAAACAGCTGGCCAAAGGAGCCAGGAAGACCTGTAGCTGGAGGAAGGACCAACAGGGAGGTGCCATGGAGGGCAGGCTGCAGAGCGAACCCATCAGTTTTACTCTCAGAAGCCCTTGCCACTGTGGCGCCGCCCCTCTTGCTGTCACTGAGGGGTACCAGATGTTGCAGAGGGCAGGGAAAGGGTCTGATCATGTGTGTCCCGTCCCACCCCGCCCTGCCACTGTAGTATGAAGGCACCCTCCTCAGTGGCTGTGCACACCCTCACAGAACCGACAGTGACTGAAACAAGGCTACAGAAAGCCACAGAATACCAAACACCTCTTCTGGTGACCTCTGAATGACTGCAGCTCCACCCTCCCTCCAGGCAGCCCAACTCAGGAAGGTTCAATCTCTTGCTTGGTAGTTGAGGCAAATCCTGCCTTGGGGGAAACTCCAGATTGCCCACTCTAGCCAGTCATCATGTGGGTTTCTCCCCAACGGCCCCAAGGAGCTGGTTAAGCTACTGGATCTCAGGACAGCAGAGGGCCTTAGGTGGCACATGGCACCTGGTGACGCCAGGGCCAGTACCAGCAGTCCTGAACAGGGATTTAAAAGTGAGCTGCTCCTCAGCACCCCCCAAGCTCAGCCTTGTGGGAAAGGTGCCACACACAGCAATGTGTAGGGCAGAAGGGTGGCAGACAGCCAGCAAGTGCAGAGACCTCCCAGGGTCTTGGTCTCACCCTCTCTGGGTCCATCCACTCTCATCTCTGGTGCTCCTGGAGGGAGAAGCTGAGAAAACACAGGCCTTAAATAGCCAGAGTGCTCCCACTTAACACACTGCCAGGGAAGGAGTGTGCTTGGGTTTCTGGAAAGAAGGTTGAGGGGGATGTAGGAAGCCTACTGCCTCAGTCTGACCTCACGGAAGGGTTCCGCCTTCTAACCCACAGGCCCACGGAGCTCCCAATCTGCAGGAAGCATGGAGTCTGTGTGAGGCCAGGCAGCTTTGCCCATCTGGGCCATTGGTCACTAGACTGGAGTATCCATCTGGCCCACAGCACATGTAGGCCAGGAGGAGTGCTGACGCTCCTAGAGGCCAGTGTCTGTGTGTACGTGTGCATGTGTACACACAGTTTGTGTTGGGTATGTGCCTAAGTGTATTCATATGTGTGCCCGTTTACAAAGATGTGCCTGTGCGTGTACACACATCTACATGTCAGGGTGTGTCTGGTATGTGCATAGGCATACACACATGTGTATGCATGTTTGCAATGTTCATGTGCCTGGTGTGTACACACATCTACATGAGACAAAAGACACATGTACCTTATCTGCAAAACTCGAGAAAAGCAAATAGGAAACTGCTTTTATCCTTATCTTAATGAAGGTAATTTTTTCAATTCCTACATAGATGTTTAGAAACAGATAGCCTTGGGACCAACAGGACAATCAAGGACAGACAGAAGACAGGCCTGCACTATCCACTGTGACAGCCAGTGAGTCTGGTGGCCCCTAGCTGGCCCTATACACCACTGTGATATCAGTCCAAGCTCCCTTCCAAGGTCACACCTCTGTGCAGAGGGTTGGCTCGGGGGCCTGAGTGGGACATCAGGCCATATATGTGAAGCAGACACAATGACTCACCAGCGGGTCCACCCCAGTCTGCAGGGCAGGAGATGGGGATGGAAACATTTACAGAGCCAAGGCCAGAGGCGCTAGAAATGGAGGGGGCAGCGGCAGAGGAGAGGGGGGAGGTGGGGCTGCAGGATGGCTGGAGCACTGTAGGTTGGGCACAGGAACCCATCTTCCAGGGCAGCTCTGGCTCTCCATGCAGCAGCTCTGGCCTCAGCTCCCCAACCCACTGTCCACCTCTGAAATCTCACCCACTGTGTTCACAGGCCTCCCATGCCCTTGGCGGGCAATCTGTGGGGCATTACAGCAAACCTGTGAATCCTCAAAAGACTCGCTCTGAGACTGACGGAACTGTGGAGGTAGTGGGGAGCTGGCAAGTCCTTACGTGGCCTGTGGCTCGGCCTAGTATGCCGAGGCCACTTTACCTGCTGTACCACACACATAAAAGGCCACCCACGCCACCTGTGGGTCACACAATAGAATCTCACACATTTATGCCACATCTGTGCAGAACTTGTGAGCCCTGCTGCAAAGATCTGCGAATGTGGCTTGGGAGGCTCTGTAAGAGCATCGTGACCATGTGGGAAGGGTTTGGGAAGCCCTCTCGTGGCCTTTGGGAAATGTCCTGGGCTGTGCCCACCCTATTTCCCCCATCTAAGCAGTGCTGGGTATGTGAGGGGGTCACACTAGCCATTCTGAAGGGCTATTTACAGAGTGGTGGCCATGAGCCACTGCAGGAACACAGCATTCTCAGACGCTAGCCTTGGGGAGCTCCCAAGGGACACAGGGCTGACCTTGGCAACCCTTCTGCAGGGCTCCAGAGGCCCCAGGTTCTCCGCCTGAAATAAGTCCATGGAGTGTCTGTCCCTCTTCTGTGGCAATCTGGATTCTCCTAGAAGCTAGGTTGGGCTGTGGAAGGAGACTAGGATGGCGCTGCTACCCTGGAAGATTGGCGACCTCAACTGACCCTAGAGCTAGCCACATTGCTCTCAGACATGTGCCCAGAGAAAAAGAAAGTGTTTGTACCAGAGGGCTGAGAGCAGCTGCGGAGGAGCAGCTGTCTAACCCTGTTCGGACTTCTTAGTGACAGGAAGGAACTACTAGTGGGCAGGCAGTGACAACCCGGACTCACAGTGACAGGGAGGTACAAGAAAGCAAGACCCGAAGGTTCCACACAGAGACCTACCATGTGCTAATCTGGAAATGTCGAAGTTGCAGGAGATAAAGCAGACAAATGGCTGCTGAGGCTGAGGGCCAAGGGCAGTCAGTGAGGGAGCTGTGTCAAAGAGCTGTGATCGGAGGCGGTGCTTGCCAAGAAGTGTGTGTCATTTCTATGGATTCTTTAATATGATCCTGAGAAGAGGTTTAAGCTCCCAGCCACGCTAGGCTCAGATCTCATCCCCCAGGCTGACCCAGGCAAATTAAAGCAGGCCCCAGCTGTCTTACCACACATACGAACTGAGGCCCAAGTGCTCTAGCAGACACAAGCACTCCAGAGCACCCACTGGGGTGCAGCACTACCCAATGAGGGAACACCGGCAGCCAAGCTCAGCCTGCTTTCCTGCGAAGGCCCGCTGCCCCTCTCACCCTCTCTCCATCCGGTTTGGGGTTGACTGTGGAGGAAGGCGAGTTGAGGGACTGACAAGGCTACAGAGATGCCCCGGACACAGAGTGCTGGGAGAGGGGACAGAAGGCTGGGCGGCAAAGAGTGGTTTGTGGAAGGTTTGACAGTAGAGGGCTTCAGTGGCCATGCCAGGTAGGATAGGTGGGTAAAGGGGCCAGGTGGTCCCGTGGATAGAGGAAGGAGGTGCTGGCTCAGTCTGGAAGTAAGTGACCTTAATAAAGACAGCGCTGCAGATGGTAGCAGGGCATTAAGATGTGCCAGGAGGTGCCATGCACAAGGAAGCCACGCTGCATGAAGCAGAAGGCTTTTGGCTTCTCCTTTCCTAGCTGGCCTCTGCATGACAGGACTGGGGAGGGAGAGAAGCTCACCTAGTCTGCATGGGTTTCCATCCCCCCCACTCAAGATTTTATCTATTCACTTATTTATTTATTATGTATGCAGTGCTCTGCTTCTATGTATCCCTCCCTGCAAGCCAGAAAGGGGCACCAGATCTCATTATGGATGGCTGTGAGCCACCATGTGGTTGCTGGGAACTGAACTCGGGACCTCTGGAGAGCAGCCAGTGATCTCAACCTCTGGGCCATCTCTCCAGCCCTCCACCCGCTCTCAAGGGACAAAAGCACAGGATGGCACTTGTGTGAAACCCTCACCTCGAGCAGGGTTGGGTACAGAAAGCCACCCCCGCGTGGCTGCGCTGCACCAGTGTCCTCCTCTCAGGAGTCCATCCTTCCCTCTCACGTTCCCAGCTGGGAGGGGTTACTGGTTCCCAGTACAGAGCTGGAATGCTGAGACCCAAGAACTAAGGTGATGAAGCCGTGACTAGAGCATTTGAGGCCCCTCCGGTGGCAGCCTGCAGGCTCCTTCCTATGGACGGAAGCACACAGTCTCACAGGAGCAAGGGCAGGCACTGCCCTGGTCCCCCGGCTGAGAACCAGAGGTAGGCCATAGCCAGAGAGAGGCAGAGCTCCTGCTGCCAGCCGAGAGGGCATTGGTGATGGATGGCCACCGACACAGTACCCAGGAGCCAGGAGCACACTGCACACACGAGGCATGGAGTGGCTGCAGATACATCAGCTGCCTGCTCAGCAGCTCTGCTTCCTGGCCGTGGTCAGAGATCACAAGTCAACTTCCCATTCCACCTGACAAGACAGGCTTCAAATTGCTTCCTCCCGAGCTGGCCATGACTCTTCATTTCCACACCGCTGGCTCCATAAGCACTGGCAGCTGGAAGCCATCACAGCCACTGTTGTGTCTTTTCAGACTGAAAGAGATAGATAGGATGAGGAGCCCACAGGCCCACAGGGAGTAGCAAAGGCTGGTCAGCGGCGGCACTGTAAGCATCCCAATACCAGACTCATGAAAGCCAAGGCCAGGGTGGCATCACAGGGCCAAGAATGGCCACCTTCCTGCTGCTCGGGATACCCCGAGAGAACTGTCCCTCAGGTCTGACGGGTGATGGGGTGAACAGGATGGCGGCGCACAGTGAGTGTGCTGATGACTGAGGCAGGACCTGTAAGTCCACAACCCAAGAGGCTTGAGGGCAGACAGAGGCTGGCCTCGACTCCTGAGTCTATAATAGCGTGCATTGGGAAATGCCCAAAATTAGTTTAAAAAAACATTTATAGGGGCTGGAGAGATGGCTTGGTGGTTTAAGAGCACTGGCTGTTCTTCCAGAGGACCTTGGTTCAATTCCCAGCACCCACATGGTGGCTCACAATTGTTTGTAACTTCAGTCCCAGAGATTCAACATACTCTTCTGACCCCAGTGGGCACCAAGCCCAAACATAGTACACAGACATGCATGCAGGCAAAATAATCAAACACATAAAATGAAAATGACAATAATTCAAAAACTTCTTTAAAATTCTACTTATTTATTAAGTATACACAGTTTTGCTTGCATGTATGCTTGCAGGCCAGAAGAGGGCACCAGATCTCATTACAGATAGTTGTGAGCCACCATGTGATTGCTGGGAACTGAAACTCAGGACCTCTTGGAAGACCACCAGCCAGTGTTCTTAACCACTGAACCATCTTTCCAGCCCCTAATTCAAAAACTTTCACGATAAAAAATTATAAAAACAAAGAAGTTGCAGCCGGTTTGGTGATTGGCAGTACTTGCTGCTTTTCCAGAGGACCTGAATAACCCCAGTTCCAAGGGATCAATGCTATCCCCGCCCCCCCAATTCTGGTCTCCTCACGCACCTGCACTCACATGCATGCACGGGAACACACATGCTGTCTCTCTTTCCACTTGCTCTTCCCCTTCCTCCTCTACATGTGCTTCTCCCCTGCCCATCCCCTTTCTGTCTCATCTTCCTGGTCAGGAACCTGTCTGCAAGTGAAGCAGTATCTCCCTCCATGTGTCACATAAACAACCGCCTTTGGTTTTTGTTATTGTAGAGAAACATAGATTCTATTCTTTTTTTTTTTTTTTTTTTTTTTGAGACAGGGTTTCTCTGTGACTTTGGAGGCTGTCCGGGAACTAGCTCTTGTAGACCAGGCTGGTCTCGAACTCACAGAGATCTGCCTGCCTCCACTTCCCCAGTGCTGGGATTAAAGGTGTGCGCCACCATCGCCCGGCTGAAACACAGATTCTTTAAACAACACATAAGGAGGCATGGCAGCAAGCAGCAGGTACCTTGAACTATGAGCCTGAAACAGGGAAGGAGCAGGCAAACTGATAGTGGAGCTAGGCTTTATACCCTCAAGGTGTGTTCTCACCGACCACATACTTCGGCCAGCAAAGCCCTAACTCCTAAACCTCCCCAAACAGCGCCACCAACTGGGAACCAAGTATCCAGATACCTGAGCCTATGGACAACATTTCACTCAAAGCGACATAGAGATACACAAAACCTCAGTTTGGGTACAGAGCAGGTACATCACCAAGGGCATGGCAGCTCTGAGGAGCTCGGCGAACCATGCAGGTTGCTACTATTGGTGGGGGAAAGCTGGCTGGTTACATCCACTCTCTACTTCAGAGTCACACATCAGTAAATTGTAGTCACACTTTATGCATGAGCCAGCCCGGGCCAACACACACGCACACACCCATACCTCCCCCACACCCCAGATGTATGGTCCATCTTCAGAGCAAACAAAAGCTGGCTTTGGAAGTAGGCCAGCCTTCAGGAATCCCATTAAAATTACGGCTCCAGTTTTATCGCCCTCAATTTCCTTTAAATAAACAGCAATACTATTTCCTAGCCTCACTACTATTTAGTTAGATTTTAAAAGGAGGAGGGGGCCATTTGTATGGAAACAAAATTATTTCATTTACCAAAGATGGGCCGGAAGAAGGCTGGGGCTGTCAGTGTTCTTATTCAAAGCTCTGCCAAGGAATTTATAGCCACCCCAGGGAGTTCTCATAACATCCCAGCCGCATAACATGGCACCCCAGTTCCTAGAAGAAAAGTCCCTATAAAGGTCAAAACTTGACAGAATCTTTCAGAATGTTTCAGTGTCTCAAATGTAAAGGCACACCTGTCCCCAACAATGGCAGCAAGTGCTGGTGACTCAGTGCTAGGGCCCCTAAAACCTGTTCCCAGGAAATAGTCAACTGAACCCTTCATTGGAGACAACTCACGGCCAAGAACCATGCTCACAGGTCACTGGTAGCTGCTGAGCAACAGGGGGCGTCCTTGTGGGCTAGCAGTGAGGGTGCCTGGGGCTTCCTGCAACTCATCCTGTACCTTTTAAGCACCAGGCTCCTTGGAGACTCTGAGCCTATCTATGCCCTTGCCCGACACCAAGACTGGGCCCTGACATCCTTCTTCTGTTCAGAAGCTGGCACTGGGCACCCCCTGGAAGCTTTGTCCCTTGTATATGGCATAGGTGTCCCTCACTGGATCAGCCACATGGCTACACAGCATGTGCTTCTGTTGCAGGTCTGACAGCTCCTGAAGATGGACCGTCACAACATGTCCTGGGTCCGCTACCCTAGCCAAGTGTCCCCAGATGTGGAGGATGTCATTGCAGCACAGAACGTCATTTCTAGGTGCATGCATGTGTATGTAGCAGTGTGTGTCCCACTGAGCCTAGTGACGGGGTTCTTCAATCTGAGCGTGTTCATCCGGGACCGTACTAAGCTGGAGGTGCTGGACAGACTCCTTGCAGGTCTCACAGTCACCAGCATCTTGGTGACTCTACTGTCCCTCAATGCTGCTGGCAGACCTGACTACATGACCACAACAAACCTGGGCTGTGGGGTGCTTTCATTCTTCTCCAATGTCTGCTACTTTACTGCCCAGTACCTGCAGGGGGCCACGCTTGTCCCATCTCTTCTGCCAGGATCTTCAGGCTGCCAGCTCTTGGTGAGGCCTGTGGCAAGCCTAGCTGCCATTGGGGGCTGTGCTGTGTGTAGCTCGCTCATCGTGGTGTCCCTGCTCGGCACATCTGGGGAGCTGCATGCAACCACCATGTGCCAGGTGGATCCACTGGCTGCATGGCCCGAATACGAGATCGTCAAGTTCAGCCTGGGTTTTGCACTTGCACTGAGCTTCCAGACGGTTCTCTTCCTCCTGCACGCTACACAGCCAGCCTGGCGGGTGGCTCCTGCTCCAAGAGATACAGCCTCTGGGCGCTGGGTGGTACTGGCCGTGGCTCTCAACATGTTTGCTTGTAGACTCTTCTTCAATGCAGTCCTCCTGCATCGGGCCCAGCTGAAGCTCCGGAAGGATGTGGGCACCCCCAGGGATGAGCTGCTCATGAACCTCGCAGAGCTGGCCCTATCTGGAGAGAGCTGCATCAACTTGGTGGTCACTCTCCTCCTCCACACGCAGTGCAGGCTCAGATTGCTGGGCCTCCTTGAGCGCCTAACACAGAGATGCAGGCGGGGGCAGGACAATAGCATGCCCTTGAGTAGACTAGGGGGCTAGACAGGGCCTGGCTGCTGGCACAAGCCACACCCCTTCCTAGTGTTCAGGGATGAGTGACTTTCCCAGGAGCTTGGGGAGGGTTCATGTGTTCTGTATGGTGCTTAATGAACATGAGTTTGCCTGTGTTCACCTCAACCTATGCAAATCAAGACAGTTTCTCTTCCCGATCAACAGCCACACCTAGCAGAACATTCATGTCAAGGACATAATGGCATGGGTACAGAGGCTGCCCAGAGACCACGGGTCCGCTGGAGGGTGTCCTGACTATAATGGCCATCTTGCCTGCTAGTGGCCATCCTCCATTCCACAACCCTAGTTCACAATACAGGAAGGGAATCAGTAAATAAACACAGCACTCACCTAACTTTTTTGTTTTTTTGTTTTTAAATTATTTTTATCTTATGTGCATTGGTGTTTTGCTTCCACGTATCTCTGTGTGAGGATGTCATATCCCCTGTCACTGGAGTTACAGACAGTTGTGAGCTGCCATGTGGGTGCTGGGAATTGAACCAGAGTCCTCTGGAAGAGCAGCCAGTGCTTTAAACCGCTGAGCCATCTCTCCAACCCCGCTTTTTTGTTTCTTGAGACAGAATCCCACTACATACAGTCGAAGCTAGCCTTGACTCCTGATCCTCCTGCCTCAGCCTCCTGAGTGCGGGGACTACAGATGTGTCACCACACTTATTTACTCTATAGCTACATTACATTCTGCTTCTATGTAGTTGTTGCCATAGCTTTCAACTGCCACAGAATTCCTGCCCCCCAAAAAAAAAAACCTCTTTTAGGTTTGCCTTTTAAAAATCTGTCATCTCTGGGGCTAGAGAGATGGCTCAGCAGTCAAGAATGCACAGTGTTCTTGCAGAGAACCTGTGTCAGTTCCCAGGAACCACATCCGGAGGCTCACAGGTGCCTGTCTTGCAACTCCAGGGGGCTCCAATGCTATCCTCCAGGGCACCTGCCCTCATATGCACATGCCCGACCCTGCCCCCACCCCACAACCTAAAAGAATGCAAATAAATCTTTTAAAAATCCATCATCATCACTGGAGCATTGAGATTATCACCCATAAGTAGAAGGTCACTGAAACAGCTGGTTTCCGTCCAGTGACAATGGTGTCACACAGGCCTTTACTGCTACTCTGAGATCTGGCAGGTACCCAGGTAGCACAGTAGCTGCTGAGAGCTCCAGCATATCCAGTGTTGGAATCTTGGTCACCAGTGTGGCTTCCTTAGGGATCTTTTAAGAGGGGAGGGCCATTGGGCAAAGATCGTAGGCCCCTCCCTGGCCTCTTTCTGGCTTCCTGCCTCAACATGTGATCTCTATGTCCAGCATGCTCTCACCACCAGCTCCTACCAGGATCCAATCAGTTTCTTCCATGATCCTACCCATTCCCACCATGATCCCATCAGCTCCTCCCATGACTCCACCCATTCCCACCATGATCCCATCAGCTCCTCCCATGACTCCACCCATTCCCACCATGACCCCATCAGCTCCTCCCATGACCCCATCTACCCCCACCATGATCCCATCAGCTTCCACCAGGATTCCTTCAGCTCCCACCACTCCAGCCTTAACTTCCATCTGCCTCTGCTAGGATTCCAAGCACTATGGTAAAAAAAAAAAAAAAAAAAAAAGACTAAACTGGCAGGGCTACCTAATCTTGGATTTCTAACCTTTGAGAGTGAGCTACAAAACCACCCTTCTTTATGAAGTACCCAGTCTTAGCTATGTTGTCACAGCAAAGAAAAACTGACTAAACACCCATATCCCAAGACATCTCCGTCCTCTGGCAGGGAGGATACTACCTAGCCCTCTTGCAGCTCCGGGGTTGGTTCAGCACATGGCAGCCATCAGCTGCTCCTGGACCAGCCTTGTACAGCCTCACTCCACTTATATTCAAAGTGGCCAGAGTGAGCTGACTACCGTGCAGGTTCTGGGGTGCTTTCTCCACATGGCACCCTATTCTCCAAGTACCACATCCCAACAATACCGACTCACTCGCCTTCCAGAGACCCGGTCTCTCTCTCCTCCACTGACCTGCTCATCTCAGAGCTCCTTCCTGTGCTGTGGGCCAGAGAATGCCTCAGGCAGGAAGCTGGTGAATGCAAGGGTATTGTCCTGTCAGGACCAAATTCTGAGAGCAGGTCCTCCTGGTATCACAATAGTCATCTCCTATGTTTGGCTGTTTGTAGTGCCTCATGGTTAGTCCCTTCACGTTCACATGGCATATGTAGAAGCTGCAAAGTTAATTTATAAGTACCTGCCATGATGGATGCCCACAGCACATGGCTCAGAAGAAAAGAGGTGGCAAAAAACCCCTCTGTGTACTCAGGCTATTGGGAGCAGTGGGTCTCAGGACAGGAGCAGGGAACAGAACAAGCTGCAGCTCTCAACTTTCTGAGCTCCTAAGCATTCCAGGCAGGGAGTATATTTAAAAACCTGACCACAAAGCCTGAACCTGCATTGGTGCCTCTCAAGTAGTAGCCATAGTGTGTAGACCAGGAGACAACTTCAGTGCCATTTCTCAGGAAGTATCCACCATTTAAAAAAAAAAAAAAAGATTTACTTAGATTTATTTTCTGCATAGGGGTGTTTTGCCTGCATTAGTGGCTGTGTCATATGTGTGCAGTAACTGGAGAGGCCAGAAGAGGGAGCAGGCTCCTCAGAACCACAGATGGTTGTGAGTGGCCTTGTGGGTGCTGGGGATTGAACCTGGATTATCTGAAAGAGCACCAGTGTTCTTAATCTCTCTGATCCATCTCTCTAGCTTCCCCCCCCCTTTACACCTGGAATTAGCCTGTAAGGCTAGACTGATTGCCCTAGGGACCCACTGTCTGTGCCACCTCAGCCCTTGAGACTACAATTCTAGGTTACCACACCTGACTTTACAAAATTCCAGGGGAACCAAGCCACCTTCTTCTGGCTGCCTCAGGCACTGCACACATGTAATACACAGCAGCTATGCATGCAAGCAAAACACCCAGTCACACCTGATTTTTGTGCATGGGTTCTGGGGATCAAACTCAGGTTTTCTTAGAAAGTATTTTACTGCACTCTCCCCAGACCTGGACCTTTGTATTTAAAAAAAGGCAGTATACTAGGGATGGCGGTACATGCCTGTGATCCCAGCACTCACAGGCTCAGCCAAAAGGATCATGACTCCAAGACCAGCCTGGGCTACATATGAAGACCCTGTCTTAATACAAAACAAAGGACAGCAATAAGAATGGCATAAGTAGCCGGGCGGTGGTGGCGTACGCCTTTAATCCCAGCACTCGGGAGGCAGAGGCAGGCGGATCTCTGTGAGTTCAAGGCCGACAGCTTCCAAAACAATACAGAAAAACCCTGTCTCATAAAACCAAAAAAAAAAAAAAAAAAAGGAGGAGTAGAAGGGGGCAAAAAATTGAAACCACTGAGATCTGATTAGGGAAGGGGTTCTAGTGGTTAGGGGAGGGGCTCCATTGATGGAGCAACAAGAGGTCACAGGATCTGCACCAGGGCCCCGTGGGAAAGATACTAAGCCAAAGTCCCCCTAGAAGGCCCTAGACTTAGGGCCTAGACTTAGGCCCACTGGATTCTGTCTCTGTCTCTTGACATGGCCATATATCCATGACATCATAACTTTCTGATAATTTCTAAGAGCAAGGAAGGGTCCTTCTACCTGAGAAGCCAAGAGGACAGTCTAGAACAAAGAGAGCCAAGGGGACCCCTCAGAATACAGCTCTGGATACTCTGGTCCAGGGCAAGGGCATAAAGGAAACTTGGTACTGATCATGGGGTGGGGAGAGACCCTGGGAGTCCAGGCCTCCCTTGGCTATGAAAGGGCTTATATGTTGTCAACAAGGACTCATCTCCACCCTTCCTTTCAGAGGCCCCAGTGTCAGCGGCCTCTCTGAATAGCACTCAAGACTCCCTCCACCCCCATCTGCACTCTGCTCTGTGCATACTCACTTCTGGTTGCCAACACTCTCCAGGAATCAAAGGAAGCAACCAGAATGATCCCAGCAACCAAGGAAGGGGCCCAGCTGTCAACACTGTGAAGCTACCGATCAGCTCCCTACAGGCACAAGGCTGTGTGTTCTGAGTGCTGGGGGCTGAACGGGGTAGGTAGCAGCTGCAGGGCAGGGATATGACACTCTCCTGGGGCTGCAAATTCCTTCCCACATTGGAAGATAAAGCTACTGAACTGGCTTTTTCTGGGAAACAGCCCCAGATCAACCTAGACAGAGCACGTGAGATGTCTGTCAGTAGGAGGCCTCCTGAACCTCACAGGGCCAGGACCACAGCACCCAGATGCTCCTAAAGTCCAGGTGTCCACTTCCACAAGAAGAGGGGAGGCTTAGGAGATGGGGAGACTGAGTCATCCCAGCTCTGCAATGACCCTGACAAAACAGCCTCAGCAGGTCGGAGTGGGCAGACAGGGTGCCACGAGACCAACACCATCAGCCTCCTGCGCCCGGCCTCTCCAGCTCTGGTTCTTCCTTTATGAAGAAGATGCCAGCCTCTCGACCTACTGAATACTTACATATTTAAGTTGAGTATTAACTGTCATGACGCACTTGTGCTGGAGTTAGAAGTCAGTGACATCTCCAGGTAGGGGCTGGGGCTCCCTGCCTCCCCCGAGTCTGGATCTTTAGACAGTCTGGAGAGATGGCTGATGCATGAGAACCTGACTTCAGGTCCCTAACATCTATATAGGGCGGTGGTGGTGTACACCTTTAATCCCAGCACTCAGGATGCAGAGGTAGGTGAACCCCTGAATGTGAAGCCAGCCTGATCTGTGGAGTGAGTTCCAGGATAGTTGGCTACACAGAGAAACCCTGTTTCGAAGCAAGCAAAAAAAAAACAAAACAAAACAAAAAAAACCAAAAAGCCAACAACAAACAAAGCAAAACCGTATGCAGCAAGCATCACATACATATAATCCCCATGCTGGGAATGGATACTGGGGGATCCCTGGAACTCACTGACCGGCCTAGCTGAATCAGCAAGCTCCAGGTTCACTGAGAGATCCCATCTCAAAAAAGAAGGTGGACAGCGACTGAAGGAGACAGTGGACATTGGCTTCTGGCTTCCACACACACATGCATAAGTAAACACCTACATGTGTATACAAAATGTACAAATATTGCAGAGTGGAAAACACATGGACCAATTTCCCAACACGCATGGCTTGACACTTACGGGGCAAACCAAATCATGCAAGCAATCCTACAAATGCTTTTGATTGGCAGGCCATCCCCCTAGTTGGGACCCAAGGAAGACCAGAAGAGCCAAGAGCATCAATGGCTGACTCAAAAGAAAATGGCTACCACACTGGGTTCCTAACAGGACTAAAAAGATGGCCTCAGAGTTGAAAGG